ATATTTTAAAATTTTGTATAAAATCTATATTGTTTAATAAACCTGACGAAGAAATTCCTGATATTTAAAACTATTGTACAGCAAATTGAAATTGAAAACTTCATCCTAAAATTTTGAGTGTCTTAACAGAAAACGGGGAGAATTAAATCGGGGGAGGGAGTTGGGTAAATGTAACAGCCCCATAAGTGCAATTATGCACTTTATGACAGTAAGAAATTGTACTTATTACACTTAGTATTAAATCGTACTGTCAATTCGGAGGATGGGTTGCAGCGTGTGTTTACTCATCATACTCAGTGTGCTTACTCATCATACTCACAGTGTGCTTACTCATCATACTCAAGGTACCGACTCATCATACTGAAGCTTCACTCAATACACAAAAGCCATCTTTAATATTTATATATTTTGAATTCCTTGACTAATGGCCGGGTGGAATGATAGCTATATAAAGGTGGCGCTTGTGACGAGGGCTTACCGAGCCTGACCTTGGGCTGAGAAGGGCTGTCAGCCAGGGCCACCAAGGTCACCATCACCTCACTGTCAGAGGGGAGGTGTACTCTGTATTGATTGGTAACCATCAGGCCAGCCATGAGGGCACGGCACCAGGCACCACATGAGGGCACGGCACCAGGCACCACATGGCCATGAGGGCACGGCACCAGGCACCACATGAGGCCACGGCACCAGGCACCACATGGCCATAAGGGCACGGCACCAGGCACCACATGGCCATGAGGGCACGGCACCAGGCACCACATTACCATGAGGGCACGGCACCAGGCACCACATTACCATGAGGGCACGGCACCAGGCACCACATGGCCATGAGGGCACGGCACCAGGCACCACATGGCCATGAGGGCACGGCACCAGGCACCACATGAGGCCACGGCACCAGGCACCACATGGCCATAAGGGCACGGCACCAGGCACCACATGGCCATGAGGGCACGGCACCAGGCACCACATTACCATGAGGGCACGGCACCAGGCACCACATTACCATGAGGGCACGGCACCAGGCACCACATGGCCATGAGGGCACGGCACCAGGCACCACATGGCCATGAGGGCACGGCACCAGGCACCACATTACCATGAGGGCACGGCACCAGGCACCACATTACCATGAGGGCACGGCACCAGGCACCACATGGCCATGAGGGCACGGCACCAGGCACCACATGAGGGCACGGCACCAGGCACCACATGCTTGTGCTGACTGTAAATCTTCACACGTTTTGGGAGCACCTTGAGCAGGGGCGTGGCTGCTGTCTGCCTGTCCCTGGACGGTGGGGGGGGTGATCCATAATGATGACGGGGGGGGAAGAGAGAGAGAGAGAGAGAGAGAGAGAGAGAGAGAGAGAGAGAGAGAGAGAGAGAGAGAGAGAGAGAGAGAGAGAGAGAGAGAGAGAGAGAGAGAGGGGAGAGATTTTTGTTAATTATCAGGGGAAAGCACCAAGCCATTACGACTATATAACACTGGGAAGGGTCAGGATAAGGATAATGTATGGGACGGGGGGGGGCGGGGGGGAAGGGGGGAAGGAATGGTGCCCAACCACTTGGACCGTCGAATAAAATATTAACAGATGGATAGAAAAAGGAATCTGATTTTATTTTGTTATTTATGTTCACTTCAATCACTTAATATTTTCAATACCATTCCATATCTGCCCCCCCCCCCCGGTCCAGGCGCGCGCGTGCGCAGTATAACACCGGGTCCGGTTATTAGAGACATCCGGCCGCCACAATAACTGCTTCAAGGACACTCCTCTCTTACGGTGTCGGAAACACACCTAAGGAACAGCACAGGAATTTCTACACCACGAAAGAACCATCTTATAGTTTGTGTTTGTGTGTTTGTATGTGTGTGTGTGTGTGTGTGTGTGTGTGTGTGTGTGTGTGTGTGTGTGTGTGTGTGTGTGTGTGTGTGTGTGTGTGTGTGAGAGTGTGTGTACTCACCTATTTGTACTCACCTATTTGTGCTTGCGGGGGTTGAGCTTTGGCTCTTTGGTCCCGCCTCTCAACTGTCAATCAACTGGTGTGTGTGTGTGTGTGTGTGTCTAAGAAGGAGTAAAGTCTAGTTCTTAATGCCCCTCCTAACAGCCTTGTATCAGTTCCGTTTCACCCTAACTACTCTGACTGTCAAATTCCTGGTCATAACGGGCCTGAAAGTTGTGGCTGGAGGTGGCTTCCTCAACCACTTCTTCAAGACCATTCCCCTTGTTAACTACCCGTACAGTGTAATATTACTTTCTTACGACCCTTAGGCTCATTTGTGCTTCCAGCTTCCGCCTGTGTCCTCTGGTACCAGTGACATCACCGTTGGTAGGCCAGACAACAGTGACATCACCGTTGGCAGGCCAGACAACAGTGACCTCACCGTTGGCAGGCCAGACAACAGTGACATCACCGTTGGCAGGCCAGACAACAGTGACATCACCGTTGGCAGGCCAGACAACAGTGACATCACCGTTGGCAGGCCAGACAACAGTGACATCACCGTTGGCAGGCCAGACAACAGTGACATCACCGTTGGCAGACCAGACAACAGTGACATCACCGTTGGCAGACCAGACAACAGTGACATCACCGTTGGCAGACCAGACAACAGTGACATCACCGTTGGCAGACCAGACAACAGTGACCTCACCGTTGGCAGGCCAGACAACAGTGACCTCACCGTTGGCAGGCCAGACAACCGTGACCTCACTGCTGGCAGGCCAGACAACCGTGACCTCACCGTTGGCAAGCCAGACAACAGTGACCTCACTGCTGGCAGGCCAGACAACAGTGACCTCACCGTTGGCAGGCCAGACAACAGTGACCTCACTGCTGGCAGGCCAGACAACAGTGACCTCACTGCTGGCAGGCCAGACAACAGTGACATCACCGCTGGCAGGCCAGACAACAGTGACATCACCGCTGGCAGGCCAGACAACAGTGACATCACCGCCGGCAGGCCAGACAACAGTGACATCACCGTTGGCAGGCCAGACAACAGTGACATCACCGTTGGCAGGCCAGACAACAGTGACATCACCGTTGGCAGGCCAGACAACAGTGACATCACCGTTGGCAGGCCAGACAACAGTGACAAAGGTGATCATAAACAAAGGCCCATTAACACTTCTCTCCAATGGCGTCACGAAACAAGAGGAGTCGAACCATTGACCCAGTTCCCGGTCACGTCTTCGCCACACAAGGCTTGCTGAGGCTGGTAATAGCCTCCATCTTCTCATATATTACATTATAGTGTAGATATATTTATATAAGAGAACGCCTGTCTCTTCAAAGTTGGAGGCCCGACGCTTACGGCCAGCCTCACCCAAATTGGCAGAGGGAATGTTCCGGTGTACGGGATCTATCTTGAGGCTATCTTGAGATGATTTGGGGCTTTAGTGTCCCCGCGGCCCGGTTCTCGACCAGGCCTCCACCCCCAGGAAGCAACCCGTGACAGCTGACTAACTCCCAGGTACCTATTTTACTGCTAGGTAACAGGGGCAGAGGGTGAAAGAAACTCTGCCCATTGTTTCTCGCCGGCGGCCAGGATCGAACCTGGGACCACAGGATCACAAGTCCAGTGTGCTGTCCGCTAGGCCGACCGGCTCCCTATGAACATAGGCGGGTCGGGATCGCCATAACTCAAGAGAGCACCGCGTGTCAGGGTCACATTCAGACCCCCACCAGGATTTTTGGCACTATATATATTCGTACATATTATATATCACAAAACCTTAGATTGTATTCCTTAAGAATCAAATGGACACTACGAGCAAATGTAAAATAGATTGTGCTAACAGTATCAGCCGACTTAGGGAACACAGACAGATATTGCTAGAGTGTGTGGTGTCCGCTGATAACAAAATACCATGAATAAATCCACAAGGGCCGTGACGAGGATTCGAACCTACGTCCGAGAGCATCCCAGACGCTGCCTTAATGTCAATGGTATGTCAATGGTATCTTGTGTAACAAGATACCATTGTAGTGAATCACAGCACCAAGTGAAGGTGCGGACACACAGCCACTAACAAGGCCACAGCCACGAGTGAAGAATGTTCCTCCAATACTCGCCTGAGAGTGCATACTGAACCTTCACCTATATTGGCTTGCACTCTCCCCCACACTCTACACGGCTGGTGCAGCGTGACAGTGAGTGACGCCACTCACAGCACAGTAGAGACAGGTCAACACACAGTACAGTGAGTGACGCCACTCACAGCACAGTAGAGACAGGTCAACACACAGTACAAACATTAACACCTAAACATTACCACTCTCAGGGCCGGGGCGACTCGTATCAACTTACCTGAAAAAATAAACAAATAAATTAATAAATACTCAGGTGAAATTGATATGAATATATTAATACAAAACACAAACTCAACTGACTATATAGATTTATATATAAATGTGTGGGCCGAGGATGGGGCCAAGTTTCTTATATTCCCCCCCCCCACTCACACACACACACACACACACACACACACACACACACACACACACACACACACACACACACACACACACACACACATACACAGCTAAGGTCAGGAAGATGAGCTTCCAGTAATTAAGGAAAGGTTGGCGAGTGTGGCAGGTTCAACAGGAATCTGGGTTCGATACCCACAGGTTGCTAAGCCGGGCGTGGGGGGGGGGGGGCTTTGGTACAGGGAGATATTATCAGCATCTTAAAAATTATCAAAACCAGCGTCTCCTGCAGCGGGTCGTTAAACGTCCAGCGGATCAAAGCGATCCATCCACCAGGTGTGTGGTGGCTGCCTCTCCCACCAGGTGTGTGGTGGCTGCCTCTCCCACCAGGTGTGTGGTGGCTGCCTCTCCCACCAGGTGTGTGTGTGGTGGGAGCCGGGGACTTGACCTGTCTCCAGCCTCGCCCATAACCTCTGATAAAGACTTCTTGCTGTTGGTTGCTGACTTGTTCCTGTCGCTGGTGACGGCTGGCAGGCCCCCAGCCCACGCCAGGCCCCCAGCCCATGCCAGGCCCCCAGCCCACGCCAGGCTCCCAGCCCACGCCAGGCCCCCAGCCCACGCCAGGGCCCCCAGCCCACGCCAGGGCCCCCAGCCCACGCCAGGGCCCCCAGCCCACGCCAGGCCCCCAGCCCACGCCAGGGTCCAAGCCTACACCAGGCCCCCAGCCCACGCCAGGCCCCCAGCCCACGCCAGGGCCCCCAGCCCACGCCAGGGCCCCCAGCCCACGCCAGGCCCCCAGCCCACGCCAGGGCCCCCAGCCCACGCCAGGCCCCCCAGCCCACGCCAGGGCCCCCAGCCCACGCCAGGCCCCCAGCCCACGCCAGGGCCCCCAGCCCACGCCAGGGCCCCCAGCCCACGCCAGGGCCCCCAGCCCACGCCAGGCCCCCAGCCCACGCCAGGGCCCCCAGCCCACGCCAGGCCCCCCAGCCCACGCCAGGGCCCCCAGCCCACGCCAGGGCCCCCAGCCCACGCCAGGACCCCCAGCCCACGCCAGGGCCCCCAGCCCACGCTAGGGCCCCCAGCCCACGCCAGGCCCCCAGCCCACGCCAGGGTCCAAGCCTACACCAGGCCCCCAGCCCATGCCAGGGCCCCCAGCCCACGCCAGGCCCCCAGCCCACGCCAGGGTCCAAGCCTACACCAGGCCCCCAGCCCATGCCGGGGCTGGGCATAGTCAGTCCAAATTTGGAGACCAGATGCTAAGGCTTGCCTCACTAAACTCTCCAGATATACTGCTAATTGTAAAGGGAGTAAGAGAATGGGGCTGGGGCTAGCTGCCATGCCCACCTTGAAGGGAGGTCGGTCCCAATACCTCCTACACCTAATGGGTATGAAATGTTCTGCATCAAAGCCGTAGAGTTTGTCATTAGTTTAAATACTGTACCCCAAAATACAGGGCCATATATTGTACTGTATCCCAATGTATATACATACATTGAAATACGGTATATATAAATACTGTATCCCAATGTATGTTGGTCATACAGGGCCATATATTCAGTAGCCTGTCAGTGCAGGCTACTGAATATATGGCCCTGTAGGACTAACCATCCCAACCCGTTCTCGCAAATTTAATAAGTCAATATTGATTTATTAGTTGCGTGCATAGGTGACATACTAAACATAATAGTTTCCCTTGAAAAGCTTCATAAAAAACACCAACCTTACCTAACCTACTTAGTATGTTAAAATAAGCATCTTATAGCTTCGTAATTACAATTGTTACTTAACCTATTATAGGTATAGGTTAGGTAATAATTGTAATTACGAAGCAATAAGATGCTTATCTTAACATACTAAGTAGGTTAGGTAAGGTCGGTGTTTTCTATGAAGCTTTTCAAGGGAAACTATTATGTTAAGTATGTCACCTATGCACATATTTAATAAGTCAATATTGACTTATTAAATTTGCGAGAACGGGTTGAACCATCGTGTGTGATGGGGATTTTTTAGCATCACGTAGCTAGCTTTTTGACACACTGTACTCCCCTTCATATAGTCTAGGGCAGCTGCACTAATGTAGAGGTACCTAAATGTGTTAACAAATAGTTTATTCATCCTCTACCACCACCACCACACCACCACCACACCACCACCACACCACCACCACCACACCACCACCACACCACCACCACACCACACCATCACCACCACACTACCACCACCACCACACCACCACCACCACTACACCACACTACCACCACCACCACACCACCACAACACCATCACCACCACACCACCACACCATCACCACCACTACCCGTCTCACCACAACTTGTGGCAGTACCAGTACTAAAAAACTTACAATAACTCACAAGTCTTGACGATGCTGCGACCCGCCTTAAAGGATTTATCCATTCATGAGTGACCTTTGGCCTGCCAGGCGGATGTTCCCAGCCCCACCCCCCACCCCCATGGAGGGGGGGAGGAGAGAGGGGGAGAGAGAGAGAGAGAGAGAGAGAGAGAGAGAGAGAGAGAGAGAGAGAGAGAGAGAGAGAGAGAGAGAGAGAGAGAGAGAGAGAGAGAGAGAGAGACAAAGAAAATCCCATCATTAATTTAGAATGGAATATAATATACATTTTTTAGCTAAGCACAATCATATTATTGTATACTAAATACTATAACAGAATGCGTCTGTCTGTCTGTCTGCCCAAAGTTAGACACCAGACACCTGGGGTTGGTCTTACCCAAATGTGTAGGGAAAATGGTCTTGGGTAGGCGATATAGGGTGGTCAGGGTAGGCCTAAGAATCATTATTAATTATTCACACCCCGTTTGATTCTCACAGATTCCATTTTGGTCAAGTGTGAAATATTGGTGGCAGCGACCCAAGACTTTCTCCTCCTCAAAGAAAATGATTTTCTTGGGTACACCCCAGGGTGGAGTGCTAAGTCCCACACTGTTCAATGTTCTGATGCACAAATTAACAATTGATATTCCCACACTACCTGACGAAGCCGTCATTTGTTATGCCGATGATATATGCATTGTTGCAAATTCCCAAACTAGACTGCAAGCTCTACTTGATTCATTCGCTGCTAAAAGCATTGAATGTGGTCTTGTTATCTCTATAACTAAATCCAGAGTTCTCCATCCCAAAGAGAAAACTCATGTCCCTATAGCTTTCAAGGTCAACAGCCAGAACATTGAAACGTGTGGGCAGCACAAATACCTTGGAGTTGGTATTAACAGTGACATTGTAAATGATCTACACCGTAGGGTAAAAGAAAGACTAAAACCATTGAGAACACTTACTGGTAAGAATATTGGTATCAATATTAAGTATGCTAGACTATTCTATATGATGTTTGTTAGATCTCTCGTTGATTATAATGCTCTGCACTTAATTAATTTCCCCTCCTCTGTGTTGGACAAACTTGAAGTAATACAGAACGAGGCCATGAGGATAATTCTTGGTGCCCCAAGATGCACAAGAATCATCAACATGAGGGAAGAACTGAAGTTTCCAACCATACTAGAGAGAATAATGCAAGTTAACACTACCTTCTGTCTTAAAGTCATGAGAGATCCTACATCTCCTACATTGCTCAGAGACAAATTATTTAGTGCTGTTAACACCCTTTTGACTGGTGCCGACATACCAACTCACTCCTTTTATGATAATTGGCTGAGAAACAATGCTTACAATCTCATTAAACTTAACATTCCTTTTAAGTGCAATCTACCAGTCTCTGATATTCCTCTTTATCTGTACCCCACCATTCAAGTATCATACACACCTGTCACCAAGAAAGATAATGAGAATCTTGCTCTACTCAAAGCTGTCACTCTTGAAACAATTGCCTCCTCCATCGAGAGTCTAAGATCTCACGAGCACTGTGTCTACACCGACGGCTCAGTCCAGTCTTCTACTGGACGGACTGCAGCGGCATGTAGGTTTTATAGAAATAATATTTGCACAAAGTCTGTCAGTGTCAGGCTAAACAACTGGCTGACCTCCACACAAACAGAACTAGCAGCATTACATTTAGCAACCAGCACATTAAAAAATATTGGAGGAGGAATAATATTCTGCGATTCAAAGTCTGCTCTTCAAGCAATCGAAAACTTCTCTTGGAAGATCGACAGCAAGAACCTCATACTCCCAATTATAAATGACCTAATTGATGCACAGAGTAAAGGGTCTCTAATCTCCTTTGTATGGATACCTTCACACATAAATATAACCCATCATAATGAGACAGACATTGCAGCCAAATTAGCGTGTAACAAGTTTGAAGTTGAATTAGATCTAGGTATCCCCATCTCTGCTGTCAAAACTGTATTGGTCCAAACATTCAGATCTGATAGGAAAGAACTTACTGACTCCCAACGACCTGAAAGTACTAGTATAAAAAGCTATGATTTGTTCAGATCTGAAACCTACATCTATGGACAGCACAAAACGTCCACTAGACTGTGCGACACAGTGGTTGCAAGGATCAGGTTGGGTTACCGTTACCTGTGGCAGGTGGCTGCAGGTGACGGGTCTCCCAATCCTGAGCACTCCAGTTGCAAACTCTGTGAGCAGGAACTACGGCATGATCTCCCGCACTACATCACTGAATGCCCAGTTATTAGACCTTTCAGACCAGTTGGCATGAGGTACCTGGAGCTTTGCAATTACTTTATTCACTCTCGTATTCTTGAAGATATCCTCACAGTATACCCAAAATTTGCCAGTGCAGGCTATTAAACACATGGCTCTGTATGACTAACCATCCTGCGAGATGGGGACTTGTATTACCACTGCTACCTTATTCAATCTTGTGTTGTTGATATCCTCAAAATGCATCCGGAGTCTGCCAGTGCAGACCGCTTATCACATGCCTCTGTATGACTAACCATCCTGTGTGATGGGGATTTTATAGCATCACCTAGTTAGCTTTTTTGACACACTGTACTCCACTTCATATAGTCTAGGGTAGCTGCACTAATGCAGATGTACCTCATAACTTAATAAAAAAAAAAAAAAAGGTGTCTATCAAGCACTTGAGCCACCGGGCATCGAACGTGGACCTGCAAAACCCGAAGCTGTTGCTGCACAATTCCAAGTGGATGGACCAGCACAAGGAGAAATTTTAATCATTTTAGGGTCTTCTGGACATTATTAAAATGTTATAATAATCTTCAGCAAACCTCTTTCATCTTTGTACTAATGGTAATAAAAATACCATTAATGAACAAATCCACAAGGGCCGTGCCGAGGATTCGAACCTACGTCCGAGAGCATCCCAGACGCTGCCTTAATCGACTGAGTTACATTCCATGTCGTAGCTCAGTCGGTTAAAGCAGCGTCTGGGATGCTCTCAGACTCAGGTTCGAATCCTCGTCACGGCCCTTGTGGATTTGTTCATTTGATGCATCACGCTATTGTGATTTCTGTGTGTAATACCATTAATGTCACTGAACTGTGCAACAGTACATTGTCTCCTTCACAGTAAACTGTCTCATTCACAGTGTGTCATTCACAGTAAACTGTCTCATTCACAATCTCTCATTCACAGTAAACTGTCTCATTCACTTCACAGTAAACTATGTAAAGCCTATTTATACCACACTCTTCCTCCCTCGTCATGTGTATAAGATGAAGGTAAACCATCGTTGTCTGTCAGCGTAGTGAGGATGTCGCCTCACTCAGAGCTTCCTGGTGCTTGGGTAACACCTTCCTTGACAGCCTCCTTACCATCCTCATTCCTCAGAGCTCTTCCTTGTAGTATTTATAGACGTCTTAACTCCCCCCCCCCCCCCCTCCCTCACACTTCCCTATCTGGCCACGGTATCGTTCCCTTCACTGTTTTAATTATATTGTTCTGCAGTCTTGTCTCTTGAGGAACTTCCGGTGAGGCTGTTCAAGCCCTTTTATCTTGGCTCATTCTGTCCATACACGTGTAGCGGTACTCATTCTGTCCATACACGTGTGGTGGTACTCATTCTGTCCATACACGTGTAGCGGTACTCATTCTGTCCATACAGCCTTGACCCATCCTGTCCATACAGCCTTGACCCATCCTGT